TTCATAGCCGTTAATAATATCCATATTTCCTCAGGAATCGGATACGCGCCCCTCTACTCTACGTAGATACACCCTTTCTCCTCAGGCGCGTTTTTTATTTATTTATTCAATCTTCTTTAGATAACTGGGGAAATGAACAACTTTTGGAGTTCAAATCCCATGTGGTAGGGTGTAGGGGTGGCAGTGGGATTGACAAGAGGTCGGGCAGCTGGGCACCGCCGTACTCGAGTTTTTTAAATCTAGGGTGGCTTTAGGCCTGGGAACTAGGATATGGTTTATTTCTGGTCAACAAAAGGATAAGATTGATATTTATTTCAGTAATCAAATAAATAGCTTATAAAGTTAGCCTTAGGATCTAATTATATCATAATCTGATTATAATTTATATATGTCATGATGGATCTAAACTAAACAATATAAAGACAAACGACAATTGTTTTCTCGTATATTTTATTGAATGAAGAAGTAAGAGATCCCCCTAGCCTAGGCCTGCCTGCCCAGGGGATAAGATTATAAGAGAATGGAAAAATATCAAACCAACTCTCCTCCCTCCTATTTATATATACCTACTTTGTTCATTTCATTATACACTGCTGATTTAATGGATGTATGTATGTATGTATATGTGTGGATGCTCCAAATTGAGCGCATGCTGCATGCGTAGAAGACTGTGTTTTGGTTTATTGACACGAAGGATGATGAGTCTTGAATTGATCAAATTGACCGCATGAAAAAGAGAGAGAGAAAATACAAAAAAGGTATTATTAGGGCATTAGCTAGCTAGCAAATGTAATAGCAGTCTAGCAGAGGTGGGGTTGTAAACATGTCCGACAGAGAGAGAGAGAAGGATGGTCATTAAAATAAATTTTAAATTTTGTGTATGGTTCTGTGTGGGCAGAATACTGTATGGTATTGGCAGGGGGGAGGGCACAGTACGATAATGATGGAAAAGAGCAGGAGAGGAAGAAAGGAATGATGGAAATTCCTGCGCAACAATGGAATGATGCATACGGCAAAAGCAAGTCCAGAGGAAGAGAGAGAGAGAGAGGACAAACACCAACCATTTCTTTATCATTATTATAAATAAAATCTTATTAAATTCTGAAATTCTTGCAGTAGTAGCAGCAGCAGCAGCAGCAGCGTAACAGTAGCAAAATTAACTTATTCTCTTTCTTTTGCATTTTTGAGTTTATATTACATGGCAACGAAAGCAAGTAAATACAAAAAAGTGAAAACGGTAACTTTGAAGTCTGAATCAATTTAATAAGTCCTATAATTATTATTACTATAAGGTAAAATTAATATAGGAGGAGGAGGAGGGAGGAGAGAGGAGGCTATGAAGCAAGGGTCGGCCTAGCAAAGTCATGATCATGAATAAGAGAAACTGGATGGATATGGAGAAAGACAAAAAGTGAATTGGGGAGGCGGCTTCGAGGACGCCGGTATATTTGGCGTGTGCAGGTAAAACGTAAATGTACCTCGACAACTGTGTCATCTATGTATGTATGTCATGCATGATGTGATATGTGATATGATTTATGCATGTGGATGTGGCTTATCCTTGAGAAGAAGTTTTGTATTTGTATTTGTATTTGTATTTGTATTTGTATTGTTCCCAGAGAAAAGTGAAAAGAGAGAAAAGAAAGAAAAGAAAGAAAAATGCATGATTATAAAAAGCTGGGGATGGGATGGTATCATAAATATCTTGAATGACTGATGACATGAATTGCTGGACCTGCCAGTGCCACACTGGCTCTACAACTTAGTATTGACCTGCTGCTGCTGCTGGCCTCTCTCTATGAATCAAAATTAATTAATTATGTTGCTTAATTTATTGTGGAGATGCAGAAAGATTTGCAGAGAGAGAGAGAGAGAGACTGTGTGTGTGTGTGTGTTTACTTTACTTTCTGCATGCGTCTTCATAATTTTGGGCAAAACAATACAAATACAATACAATATGCATGATGAGTCTCGTCAATCGCCGGCCGGGCTAATTGACGTAGACTAATTAATTAAAGACGAAAGACAAAACGTGTATATTGGTCTCATATCTCGATCTTGTTTCACCCAATCTCGACGTTGCTCTGTTGGATATTGGATTCTGTCGGTTCCTGATTTCTTCTTTTAAACAGAAGAGCTGCTGAATTGATTAGAGTAGGAATAATTATTATTCTATGCAAAATCAGGCTCTATTATATTAGAGATCTTTCTCCTTAACCCTATTCAAAACCATTACTTTCTAGGTCTAGGGAATGAGGTACGAGAGGAATGAAAATCTGGTTCCCATCATCTTGACTTTTCAACTTTCATTCATTCATTCATTCATTCACTGTAAAGGTTGTTTAATTCATAAATATGAATTTATTAGTCACACATTATTTATTCCAATATGTATTTAAATTAAGGATTACCACAAAGTCCGTGGATAACATGGAATTGTGAAAGTTGTATTCTCTTAATTAATTATATATCATAGTTTATAATATATATATGGTCATTCGTCTAAGGAATGTGTGATGATTAATGAGTAGGACCCACATGGATTGACTGAGTTAATACCCAAGATTGGATTCGATTGGAGTTAGGTGGGTTGACCATCCATCAGCATTCAACGCAAAGGTGAGAGACGTGGAGATCATGGGTTATCACATCCACATATATTTATACTCTCTTTCTCACGTAATTAAGGGGAAGGAAGGAGAAGAGGGCCATGCAAGGTTTCAGCTGACGTGTCATGGCCGAGTTGCTTTTCCTTTGGAAAAACACTACTACTGCCGGAGGTCAATGTATTAGGTTATAACTTTGACAAATATTTCTTACCCGAAAAAGCAAAAGAGTATTGTTTCCCTTTGATTGGGGTAATTTGGTAGAGCTTTAAGATCACAAAAGTTGCTTCATTCTCACTGCTTTTTTTTTTATATGCAACATATCATAACAAATCTAGCGGACAATAGTCAATTTTAGTTGCCTAGAAGAAAAAGATGGCTTCCTATATATATATTACTTCCGCACAAAATATATAGAGGTCACATTACATTCACCTAGCTAGCTAGTAGCTACAACTAGAAACAATTTTAAATCTCTGGTGAAAGAGACGTTTGCTAAGCATGTCTTATATGAAGTTTGTCTCTAATTGTTGTCCCAAACACCATGAAGCAGAAGAACTACTACTACTCTTTGAGGCGAGCATTTGAGAGGGAGAGAGAGAGCTAGCTAGTTGATGCACAGCACAGACAACGCATAATAGACAAAACTAGTTTGAAATAAGTTCAATTCAAATATTATAGAATTTGACTGCTCTAGAATCATGTGGGGACTGCAAAATGCATGCACACCACACGGCACACGCACGTCAAATGAACACACTCTACACTCTACTGCAGAAGCAATTTAGAATTTTAAAAAAGTTTGATGTCCTTGTCTTATTTCACTTTTATCATCTTTGTGCGAGAGAGAAAAAAAAAACCAGAAACCATAAAGAATTAGGGGAATAAGGAATGAAAACACTGCAGGCTAGGTTAGGTTGATAAATAATTATAGTGGAGATATATCATATTATTAATTTAATCTGGGAAATGAAGAATGATTGAGCAAGGGTTCCCCACCCTATTGACTTTTGAAGCTCAAGGCATGGAATTAGGTGGAAAGTTTGAATAATTGTGTTGTTTTAGTTTTCCATTGATCAACTTTTGCTTACCTTTCTGGCAATACTAGTGCATGCATCATGCATGCTCCACATCTCCAGATCATGATGTCAACCACAAGAAACAACCATGACCATTCTTCTTGATGATGATTTGCTTAGTGTGGGGGTTTCATCGTGATTAAGATGACTTCACGCACGAACAGACGATTGACATTCTCCCCATGAAACGCATTGTATTCGTTCATGTTTTTGACATGAGATAAGACATTTATCATTTACGAAATCTTACGATGCGCGAAAGTCCTTGAGGTTTGAAGACTTTTCCCTCGGTTGACAACAACTTAACATGGATATGGCTGACCTGCACTGCACCCAGCATATTTAATCGCTTTCAAATTCATACGATACGACCGACGACAGTACTGCTTTGCCAATTGTTATTTCCTCCTTCCTTGTATACGTACGTACGTCTTAATTATTCGTACAAGAATGAAATCATAGTCGTATTATAAGTTGGCACCGGCCCAGCTGAGAGAGAGAGAGAGAGAGAGAGAGAGAGAGAGAGAGAGGCTTGATTTAGGCTTGCCCTTTGAGATGATGGGATATACGGTGATGATGGGGGGGTCAAACATAGCAGCGTTACTTACTAATTTGTCTGCCTACAATATATACATGGCGGCCAGTAATACCAATTTTATATTCTTAATCTTGTTATTTTAGTTGGACATGTCTAAGGGAATTTGTGATGATTAAAGAAAGTTGGGCGCACGCTGTGAGGCTCTCCTCTCTCGAGTCTCGACCAATATTGGATCATTAGTTGCACGTAAACTGACTACTTGAATATTATTAAACTTCTTCTTTTCTTTTGCGTATTAGATTTGTATTTTTGCTTTTACTAGACATTATTTCTTACTTGTTTCCATAAGTCATGCACGTAAACTGCCATGCAAGCCACATCACCGGATAGCTGACATGTGGAAAATACTCACTTCCATTCCAGCTGTAATGAATGGATTTATGTAAACTTTAGGGATTATAATCAAATTCCAATTTGGATTCCTATAAAATGCCCCACAACACCACAACCACAATTCAATCAATTTGTTTTGAACTGACTATTGTCATGAATGTTAGAGAAATTTTGGTTCGGATTAATCCATTTAACAAGATATGTATACCTTCCTTGATAGCCCAAAGTTTGGTAATCGAAACAGTCCAAAAACTCAACACCGAACATTTGGGCTATCAACGTATCCAGTTAAAGATTTGAATGGGCTAAACTCAACTATCAGCCCAAAATAGCTCTTCCCAAAATGTACATTAACTTTAAAACCACAGCTCGCTCGCCGGCTCATAACTATTCCCGATCCAATGAGCCCAATTGAAGCCAGTTTAAGCTGATCCAATACAGTTTGTATATGTATTTTGTACACTAAGAGCAGCAAGAACATGCAATTATCTTTCCCGAAAGTCACAATACAAATGCCAAGCAAGCAATGAGGAACTTTAATTTATTTCAATGTTGCAGAACTGAGAAAAGAACAGGACTGAGTCTAACATTTATCTCAGTACATAAGAGTCCCAAGAAATTTCTCATCAGTAGCGGTAAAAAGCTTCAAAACATGCACACCTCACAAATTTGAGCTTCCTGTTAGAAATTTAAACCACAGTTAATAGGCAGAACCAATAAAACGGCAGGTAAGGAAACTCAACTAACCAAAGCAAGACAGATAAAAGTAAAACTTCCTGTCATGTCAGGTCATAAGCTGACTGCTGCAAAAAATTATAACTAGGGAGCATTGCTTACTGAAAGCAACATGCCAACAACAGAAACTGAAGTAAGTGAATTTCTTGAGACACGTTTACTCTTTACTTCCATATGAAAATGCCGTCAAAACAATTACTTATGAAACAATGGACTCGCTGGTTATGAGTGCATGCATATTGATTTTACACATGTACTTTGTTATGGTGAGATCTTTAAAACTACTTTCTCAGAAACTGCTCCATGAGTTTTTTCTATTTCTTGTCCCAAAAAAGGTATCAAAATGACGATAAGTTTTTCTTTGGCTGAACTTTTCAGCATGATGAGATTTTAAAATTTCTGATTTCCCTATTTGGGTACTAGTTTTCTTTGGCCGGAAAAAACAGAGAGAAGAGGGTTTATAGATCAGCAAGAGAGCAAAATGAAAAGAAAAAAAAAACCAGAAACCTAGATTGTCTGTTTCTCAAGTTTTCCTTCATCTTCTTGATAACAAATAAATAATTCCAGTTTAAACAGACAACTCTCTCAACCTAATGTACGATGCAGGAGATACATGAAAGCAGGCTGCCAGATATATATGCCAGACAAATCTCTCTTCTATTCTCTCCTCTTGCATTTGATCAATGGGAAGAAAAGCCTCTTAACGGACTACTTAAGGTGAATTACCCTCACACAGTAACATATCTGAAATGCCCTTACATTATATTTTCTTTACCACACAATCCTTAAGCTTCATGTGACGCAACCTAGGATATCTGTATGATGATGTGCAAAGGAACAACAATGTTATAGTCAAAATAGTTGTGATCTTATCCTTCTGTCGAAGTCCACAAATATATACCTCACATGACATGAAGCAACTTGGGATTAAATGACATTTAATTAACCTACCATCATAGCTCAACCTCTCATATGTAAGATTTGCATGTAAGAATTTTACAACTGAATGCACCATACAAATGATATATGAATGACTTTACCACGGACCAGAAGAAAAACAAAAAGACATCTCCATAACTCAAACTAAATGAGTAAACACTTTTTCTATAACCTAACAAATAATAAGACGTATCAGGTCGAATCCATATAATTTCAGCAATGAGTAAAAGTTTCCAGTTACCACACCTCAAACCTAAATAAATCCCTCCAACCAATTCATACATATCCTCCCAGGTTTTTCTTCTAATGGCTTCTCTGATTAGAAATCACAAGAGTACAATTGTGAAACTAAAAGTGAAAAAAAAGAAAAAAAAAAGTGAAACAATAGTTGCAGCATGTTCAGGTCAACTGTAAGCTTGCTTTGCAGTAAGTATTTTGGGACAAGCCCATATACATAGCAAGTGCATTGTTTACAACATTCAACAACCTGAACACCCAGCAAGGAAGTTCATATAATCCACATAACTAAGACTCCTTCAATGATCTAAACCAAATGGCCACTAAATAAGGATGACAGTACTAAAGATGATAATGATTTTTTAATTACAAGGATTTAAACCTAACAAACCCCATAAACAAAAACCTATATTTCTCTTAGAATACCAACTACAATTGAGAGCACATCAATACAAACCCTATGTTACCATAATCGACCCCAAAATTCCCCAACTGGAGACCCAAAACACACAATTGAAGAATTAACAACAAACCCAAGATTCACCGAATCAAAAATTCAAATAAAAAAGGGCAAAAGCTAGAAAATAGAAGTCAGACGAATCAATTAGTGAATTACCAAATAATGGAATGTGGGTTCTATGCGTTGGCAGTGTTTGGAATGAGAGGAATTGACTGTCCCTTCTTCTTGGTCTGCTTCAACTTGGCCTCTTCTTCACGGATCTTCTGCATCTGGAGCATTCTCTCCATAACGAGTTCGTACTCGCACTTCTCGTACGAGTGGCGTTCGTTCTCACACTTCCATGGGAGGTAGAACTCAGCCTGCCTGCACTTGTTCAGAGGGATGAGCAAGTGGGCGCACTGATCTCTGTAGGGCAGCGGCACCCGAGCCTCCACCATCTCTGCCTGGGTCGCTATCATCTTCTTCGACGTTCCCTCAGCTGCCATTCCTTGAAAATTAAGTCCTTTTTTGTTCTGGGTGTTTAGAGTTTGGTGGCTCTGATGGCGTGTACGACGGCTTTCAGTGTCGGGGTGTTCAAGGTCGTTTCGTTTTAGTGTGCGGATTCGTATTTAGTTACCATAATCCACCATATTATCAACACCTTTCATTCTTGGTTTGTTTCTGGTTTTTTTTTTTTTTTTTTTTTTTTTTTTTTTTTGAGTCAATGAAGAGATTTTGATCATTTTTTTTGGGGTGCATTGGGCCGAAGGCATGAGCTAAGCTATTGAGGGAAACGCCCAAAATTTTGTTTGTTTTTGGGCCGGTAAATCCATCAAAACGAAGGGTCCATTCGGGATTTGAGTTTAGACAATGTTCCAAAACAAGAAGAAGAAGAAGAAAATAAAAAAAGATTATGGGTTGGAAGTAGTTGTAAGGAATGAAAAGTGTGGAGCATTCGAAAGAGCACTGCTCAACTGGTTTAGCTTTACCCCAACATTTGGACATTGTTTAATCCTTATGGCAGTTCAACTTCCATTATATACCATCAATGTGTCGATAGACGACAACATTCGAGGTACTGAAAATGGATCCATCAATTCCACTGCATGATGAAGAAGAAGCCCAGAGGCTGCCTCCAAAGAGGTTAGCTAACAAACTTTAAGCCAAATTCCTAGTTAGCTGCTTAAGGACGATATGATATCTAACTTTTTTGTGTTATTGTATGCTTTTTGTTAGGTTGGGGAACAAAGTGGCAGTCATAACTGGGGGTGCAAGAGGGATTGGAGCTGCCACAGCCAAGCTGTTTGCCGATCACGGTGCCCACGTTGTCATTGCTGACATACTTGACGACTTGGGAGCCACACTAGCTGATAATATCGGAGGCCGCTACGTACACTGTGATGTGGCAAAGGAAGCTGATATTGAATCAGCTATTGAGCTTGCGCTCAAATGGAAAGGTCGAATTGACATCATGTTCAACAATGCTGGCGTTGCTGGTCCCACGGGGAGCATAACCAGCCTTGACATGGAGAATGTGAAGCACCTCCTCTCCGTCAATGTTCTTGGCGTTATGCATGGAATCAAGCATGCTGCTGCCGCCATGATCAAGGGCCAAATAGGAGGGAGCATCCTTTGCACATCGAGCTCGGCGGCTATCATGGGAGGCCTTGGAGGACATGCCTATACACTGTCCAAGGAGGCCATCAACGGCCTGGTGAGAAGTGCTGCGTGTGAGTTGGGAGTGCATGGCATTCGTGTGAACTGCATTTCGCCTCATGGGGTTCCTTCAGAGATGCTCGTCAGTGCCTACAGAGAGCATCTCGGGAAAATGGATATGAAGGCTGAAGACGTAAGCAAAATTGTAGGGGAAAGGGGGAGCTTGTTGCGTGGGAGATGTGCAACTGTGGAAGATGTAGCAGAAGCTGCATTGTTCGTAGCCAGTGAAGACGCTGGCTTCATAACAGCACATAATCTAGTTCTTGATGGGGGTTATACTTCTGCTTGCAGTACCATGAGCTTCATCTACCAAAATGGTCATTAACGTACCATTCAATGAAATGTTCATGGAGCCTACTTGGAATATCTTCCCATCAAAACACGCAGGATTTCAATTTCTTGCATCTTTTAATTCCATTCCAAACTTTTATACCCTCCTACTACTCGAATGAATAAACTGAAGCTACTTTGAGAATAAAACTTTTGTGTTTATGCCATGCTTATCTAATATTCAAATACGAATTCTATCAGCTGTCTTGTTTTTCTCTTGTTTCTCCAACTTGCTAAAACTACAAGTCAAATTCAAATCAGATAAGTTATTGGAACGACTAGAAGGATAAATATGATCATCTCATCTCTAGAATCTTCTACAAAACTGTTTTTCTTCCAACAACAAGCAAACACAGAACATGGTTGTTTAATCACAATACCAGAACTACAGAAATAATTGCTGGAAACTGCTGGTTTGGAAAAGGGCGAAATAGCTTTTCCAGCACGCTCCAAAGTGAGAATTGATATCAAAGTATGCTGCAAACCTAAATCTTGATGTTGAAGTAATCCGAGTCAAAGTGATGTAGACGTACGTAACCATCCTCACCTCCACTTGAGAAACTGAGAGTTACAAAATACAATAAAATAAACAAATAGTTACAAAAACAAAAAGACATTAATGCTAAAACACTTATGATTAAAGAAACATGAATTTCCTATCCAAGACAATTTTCTCAATGCATACAGGCAGAAAATAACCCACTCATCAGTTGAGAAACATTGATACCACCATACCTACCACATAAATTAAACTCTATCACCTTTTTATAGACTTTGAACCAGGTACATATGCCAGATACCATGTATAAAAGTTATGCACAATTTCATCTCGGTTTTATAGTTAAAATAACTTTTGTAGCTAAACAAATTGTTCATGTACAAATATCACAATGAGTACCTAAAATGCAGTCCAATTCTAATTAAGAAGCCTTTACTCCTTATGTATTCATGAAACCAACAAAAGCAGTTATGGGATTGAACTGTACCTTTTTCCATCAGGATTGAAAGCCAAAGCATTTATAGGTCCAAAATGCCCTTTAACACCTCCAATCTCTTCTTGAAGAACCTATACATATGTCATTGGGAAAAAAAATCATGTACTGAAGTGACAACAACCTACTACAAAAAATATAAACAAGAGTAGTAAGGTTTACCTTGTCATAGAATTTGGCTTCAAATTTCCCAGCACGATGATCAGTTGTGGTGACAGCTGATGCATCCTGACCACCACCAAGTACCACCTGCACAGCACATAAGGAATTTTGTTCTGAGAAAAAAGATAATGAACAAGGAAAAACAGTGCATAAACAAGAGATATAAAGGAACTAAGTGTCTTTACTCTTTAGTAAGTATAATCCATTCATCAAATTTAAAACTAGAAACTAAACACACAAATTATTGAGTCAAAACAAGTTGACATGCTAATGAGACGGATCTTTTTCAGAAAATGGAAAGGAAAACAAAAATATGACAATTTAAAGAATATCAGTAGCTTGTAAAAAAAGATATTACAATGACATACATGATCAAGAAGAGGAGACATTGCAACGGCATTGACTGGACGCTCCGTCAAGTAGGTCTTGATAAGCGTCAACGTTCTAATATCCCAAAGCTGAAAATTTTGCAGCAGAAGACACAAAATCAGTAAAAATACAGAAGCTACAACTCAATAGAAACAAAAAGACGAAGTTTATTCGTGCCTTGGCAGATTTATCTAGCGAGCCAGTGAGGAAATGCGAACCATCAACAGACTTTGCAAGTGATGTTATCGTCTTTTTGTGACCCACTTCCTTATCGTTCTCCTTAAGTAGTTTGCCAGTCTGCAAATTGGAAAGAATGGAAAACAAAACTTAGAGCAAATAAAAGAAAAGCTTCCGAATTTCCAATGCAACAATAGCCAATAGTCACCTCCGAGTCCCAAATACGAATAACAGCGTCTTCTCCTGCGCTTATGATGGTTCTGTTCAAAGGCCCCCAAACAGCTCTGTTAATTCTTCCCTGAGGTCCCTTGAGTATCAGAGCCGACTCACCAACCTCTGAAAATATCGAAACCACCAATTACTCAGAATTCAATTATTATGTAAAACTTGAAAAGCTAAAGAGAGGACAAGGAAGAGAAGGTTACGATCTGCGGGGTCGCTGGCGATGCGCTTGACGTGAATCGCAGAAGAGAGCTCCATGAAGGGGTCTGTGGTTATGACTGCGAGCCTATCGCCGACTGAGAAGTCAACCGCCCTTGCCGGAGAGTCAAAATTAAAGGTGAATAGCTGCTGACCGGTCTGAACGTTCCACAGCTTGGCGGTCTGATCGGCGCTACCGGTGATGAGGCGCGCGGAGTCTCTGGAGACATCGCAGCACCAAACGGCACCGTTGTGGCCACGGTAGGTGCCGAGGCGCTCGCCATTGTCGGCGAACCAGACCGTTGGATTATGGTCTTTGGCGCACGAGAAAAGGAGGTCCCCGTCCCTGTTATATTTGAGGAAAGTCAAGGGCCTCTCGTGCCCTTTCATCAGAATCGGCCTCATGTTTGGAGTCGGAGCAACAACGAATCGACGAGATTGCTAGTGTAGAACTGCTGTGGCGACACCCAACGGAGGCAGATGCAGAGGTAGAGTTTCGGAAGAGGTGGAAGTTGGTTTTAGGTTAAGCCACATACGTGGGTTGGGCAAATGGGTATGCGTATACCCAGGCCTATTATATAGTTAAAGGGCTTATACTTCTAGATTCAGAATTATAGGCCCAATGGGCCTATCCAAAATATCATGTGCAAAAACAAAAAGAAAGTAGGGTTGTGTTTCTTTTCCTAAATACAAGGAGAATGGGAAATCGAATACAGGACATAGACGTCGTTAATCACTTGAGCCAGTATCGCTTTTTGGTAAAAAGAAAAATATTTACAATCACACTTGATGCTTTGATAAAATAGAAAAAACAAAGGGAGACTTTAATGCTGAAAGAATGATGGTTGAGAAATTACTTAACCATCGCAATCCAATTACATACTCCTTTTGACTAAGGAAACTTACAATTGCAGAGCATGTAAATGCTCATATACACAATGAACAACAATTGTTTCCAGAAATAATGCCACATTGGAAACATGTTACATATCAAACTTCTATTTACAATGATAATATAGGTAACAATCCCTTGGTGAGAAGAGATCTTAGGTTGAAAGAATGCCTTGTTGAGATCTTAAGCAGCAGCAGCCTTCTTCTCTTTGTAGTTTCTGGAAAAGACCATGTACACCACCAAATTTAAGAAGCTGAGTCCAGCTAAAAGCCAGTAGAAATAATCAAGATGGCCCTCATTCAAGTTATCTGGAATCCATCCAGCCTTCCCACCCTTTGTTGTGATGTAAGTTACAATAGTCAGAATGAGAGAGCTGAGGTAATTCCCCAATGAATTTGTGAGAAGAGACAATGCACTGCACAAACTCCTCATGGCATCTGGAGCTTGCTCATAGTAGAACTCATGCTGTCCGATGAACGTAAAAACTTCTGCAGCGCCCAGCAAGAAGTACTGGGGAATTTGCCAAAGTATACTAAGTGGTACAGCAGCCTTTTCGTCTTCCAATCCAAGCTCTGCGACAAGCTGCAATCGCTTAATCTCTACCAATGCAGCAGCTGCCATACATAGAATTGATACAAACAACCCGATTCCCATCCGTTGCAACTGCGAGAAGCCCCTCTCCTTCCTTGTTAACTTTTTAACGATTGGGATGATTATGCTATCGTAGATGGGGACCCAGATAATAACACTTACGAAATCAAAAAATGAGAGAGATGCTGCAGGAATGGTGACAGAACCCAGAGTTCTTTTCATCAGCTTCCCTTGTACCACAAACAGTGTGGACATTTGGGCAAACACAGCAGAAAACACAATTCCTGTTGCCCATATTGGAAACATGCGGATCAAAATCTTCAGTTCCTCCACCTGTGTAACGGTACAAAGCCTCCATGGATTACACAAGTCCCCATGTTCAATTTCAGCATCTGATATCACGGCAGCTTTATCAAGGCACCTGCAGCAAAGACATGGTACATTAGAAGTAATGCATTAATTCCACAAAGCAATGCTATGTGAAATATGCAGCAGAATATGGCAACCGAAACCTGGACAATGAAGAGAAGAAGACTACCTTAGTTCATTGCTGTGCTCCAGTTTACGACTCCCTTCAATGGCAGAGCTTCTGTCTTGTGTTTCATGGAGGAGACTGTTGTCCTCAAGCACCTTCAGATTCCTTTTGCGGAATGATGCAACCAAAACCTGGCATATTCTTGTTAGAGGGCTTCCGCCTGGTTTCTGAAATCGATATAGAGGTGTGCCTATCAATAAACTTGCAATACAAACACCCATAAGGGCTGTAGGAATTCCAAATCCAATTCCCCAACCAACATTGTCCTGAATCCACACCAGTAAACTGCTTGCTATAATAGCACCAATGTTTTGAGAAAAGTAAAACCAGTTGAAATAGGATCCCTTCTTCACCCTTTCCTTGGGATCGGTATCATCAAACTGGTCCGCCCCAAAAGGCCATATACAAGGTTTGATCCCGCCGGTCCCTAATGCAATCAGATACAGTCCAGTGAGGAACACTGCATATTGTGCAGTAGTAGCTGAAGGGCATACAGAACCAACACATTCAGCAGGCTTCAGTGCCGAGACAGATGCTGAGAGAGTCAGTGTACACATTCCCTGCATGAAATCACAGTTGTTCAACATTTGAGTGAAGATTTATAAAAGTGCATATACATAGAAGCAATCAGTAAAAATGAGATGATAAAGGAGGCAGTCTGACATATCATTTCCCCCAATAAATCTTGCAAACCTTCCGTGAGCTGATCCATTGATCTGCTAATATTTACACGTGTATGTACAGAAACACAAAATGATCAGCTAATACTTACAATTAAGTAGACTGTGGTAAAACCAGCAATTGTCCAATATCTTCCCCAATAAGTATCAGCTAAGATGGCCCCAATGAGGGGTGTAATATAGCAAGTTCCTTTCCAATTAGTAATATTTGTTGAAGCAACAACAGTTCTTTCGTGTAGTTTCTCGATGAAATAGTTGACAAGATTGGTAGAAATCCCATAGAAAGCCAAGCGTTCACAGAAAAAGGTACCTGTATTTTATCTTACAACTGTTAGAAACAGAAGAGATCTTGGGCAGATAAGAGCAATGTTGAAGACAATATATCACCAAGAATGAAGGAGCACGCTTTCCACTGTCCAGTATTATTTTTGAGAGCAGGCTTCCCCTTTGAGTCAACTGAACCATCTCCGGCGTAGAGGCCACTGCCTTCATTCTGAAGACATAATATAAAACATCACATAGATCAAACAAAAAATGGTCAGAATCCAAAGGACAAACAACAGCGAAAGAAAAATGTTACCATTGTGGAACTCAATAGAAGCGGGGTATCAACAACCTGACTGAAATTGCAATGGCTATAGTATTCGATCACAAATTAGTGACATTCAGGGATACAAATTGATGATGTCAATGCCGGAGGGAGTTGAAAAAGTTATTCAGTCCCAACTTTTAACGTTCATGGCTATGAGTGTAGACTGGTTTTTATGAGTATCAACTCAAAGATGAGTGGGAATGGAATCAAAGAAAAGATAGATGAGAAAGTTATTCAGTCCCAACTATTAACAACCAGTCTACCACTTAAGTGGCCTCATCATCATTAAGCTTAAGTTTAGCTTAACAGGCTGAGGCAGCATCGAAGCTGACCCCTGCTGGACACTGCCCAGTGCCCAGCCAGTCTTCTTTCTGTTTACTTAATTTGCCGGAACAATTACAGAGATGCCACGCTCTGCCTCTGCTGCAAGACTTTACAAGGGATAAATATTTCTTACATTATAACATGATGCATACCCAACCCAATCAACCAAGATAGCAAAAAACAAAATGTCAAACTTTTTTGTTTATAAATTATAAAATTTTATGATACACCAGCAGAATGAGATAAAAATTTCAAAGGAAATGAGTAAGGATGAAATCAGGCCACGCTAATACAGAATATGCAAGTAAGAGCATAGGAAGAGGTAGAACCTGCAAAATATTAGCTTCCAAAAGTGCTCTTTCATCATCCTCCGAACCCATCTTCTCTCCCTCTCTATCTCTCTTTCTTTCTCTCTCCTCGTTTTAGATTTCTAATGTCCACGGATTCGAAAAAGATATCAGATAAAAATCAACTTTTGTTTGTGTTCGTTAAATTTTTGGAGAAATTAAGAATCAGATTTCTGTTGTTGTGATTTGTTCAAGTAATAATGGATGGTAGAGTATGACGTTGACTAAAGGCCCTAATTCCGCGGACTTCACTATCATTCCATGATTGATTCAAGATGACCTGCATTTAAACTCAAACTCAAACTAATAAAATAACCAATAAGACAAATCATCTTTATCATTTCGACTAATGGGGCAAAACAGTAGTGTGATTAATAAAGACGTATAGGATTAATCCAATTAATGTCATATGTTCTGTTTTCTCTGTTATTGTGTTCTACTTTGGGCATTCATTGGCGACTTATCAAACGACTGATAAGAGAAAAGAAACTCAAAAAGCAAAGCATGGTTGATGGATGGGTTGTCATACGAGACTCATGTGGAAATGGAACTTTGGAGGAGTTGGACGCATAAACAGATTGGATTTTTTGTTGTTTGTTTGTCGGCCTTAAAAACAAGTATGCAAAGCTCCAATAAACTTGGGACTTTGAGGTTGAGACCCACTCATGCCATATGATCCGATGCCATAGTACCCGACAGAGACGACACACAATCTATCAGGCCAAAAATCTAAGCAAGAAAAAGAAGCGGAACACACATTCTCTTCTTTATAATCAATCTCAAATGACTTCTAAGAAACATGCACAGCTTGTAGTGTAGCGGGTTATTTACAAAAGTATCAAAGACATAATGATTTTTACAGATTGCTTCAGCATCATCAAACGGGAAAACATTACACATCACTTCTTCAGTTTCTTCCCTTTATGGTTTAAAGAAATGCAAAGGGCCCCCTGGAAATGCCTTAAGAAGCCGCCTTCTTTTTGTACCTCTTGGCACACACTATGTACACCAACATATTCAAGAGGCTGAGTCCTGCTATGAGCCAGAAGAAATAATCCAAATGGCCTTCATTCAAGTTGTCTGGTATCCATCCAGCCTTCCCGCCCTGTGTTGTGAAGTAAGTCACAATTGTCAGAATCAAAGAGCTCAGATAGTTTCCCAATGAAGTCGTCAGAAGCGACAATGCACTGCACAAACTCCGCATAGCATCTGGAGATTGGTCATAGAAGAACTCCAGCTGCCCAATGAATGTGAATATCTCCGCAGCACCCAACAAGAAATACTGAGGTATTTGCCACAAGATACTGAGCGGTACAGCTACCTCTTTGTCAACCAAACCAAGCTCTGTTGCAAGCTGCAATCGTTTCATCTCTACCACAGCAGCAGCCGACATGCATAGCACTGACAGAAAGAGACCGATACCCATCCGCTGCAACTCTGAGAAACCCCTTTCTTTACCGGTAAATTTCCTAGCAATCGGGACAATAAACCTGTCATAAATGGGGACCCAGAAAATAACACTGATGACATCAAAAGATGAGAGAGAGGCTGGGGGAATGGTGAAAGACCCAACAGATGTGTCCATCATCATCCCTTGTTCCACAAACATAGTCGCCATTTGGGCATAAACAGCAGAAAAGACAATTCCAGTAGCCCAAATTGGAAACATTCGTATTAAAATCTTCAACTCCTCCACTTGAGTTACAGTGCAAATCCTCCATGGATTGGAGAAGTCCCCAGTTTTGGTCTCGGTTTCTGATATCACAGCAGCTTTATCAAGACAACTGCGGCAAAAACAAAGTTCATAAATTTTTAAGAAACTTGATTATAAGGTTGAGTTATTCAAGAAACATGTAACTAAACGTTCAGAACATTACTTCAGTTCATCACTGTGCTCCAGCTTACGACTTCCTTTAATGGCAGAGCCTTTATCTTGTGTTTCATACAGGAGACTACTGTCTCTAGGGACGTCCAAATTCCCCTTACGAAATGATGCAACCAAAACCTGGCACATTCTTGTAACAGGGCTTCCCCCCGGTTTCTGAAATCTATATAGGGGTGTGCCAGAAAAGAAACTAACAATAGCAATGCCCATAAACAATGCAGGAATACCAAAACCTACGCCCCACCCAGCATTGTCTTGAACCCAGACTATTAGAGTACTCGATATTAGAGCACCAATGTTGATAGAAAAGTAAAACCAGTTGAAGAAGGATCCCTTCTTTACTCTTTCCCTAGAATCAGTATCATCAAACTGATCAGCCCCAAAGGACGAAACACATGGCTTGATCCCACCAGTCCCTAGAGCAATCAGATAGAGCCCAAAGAAGAATACTCCATACTGTGCCGGACTAGCTGAAGGACATACTGAATCCACACATGGGGGAGGCTTCAGTGCAGGAACTGATGCCGAGAGAGTCAAAGTACACATCCCCTACACCAAATAATAATCAGTGAAACAATCTGTAAATAACCATTGATGATCTAACAGAAGCAACAGGTCAAGTGTACGAGACAAAATTCTTCCATGCACCAAAAATGGGAGGAAAAACCAAATTTAATACGTATTTACAATGAAGTAAATGGTGGAGAAAATAGCAATTGTCCAATATCTCCCCCAGTAAGCATCTGCTAGGACAGCTCCAATTAGAGGTGTGAGATAGCAAGTGCCCGACCAAGTTGTAACATTTCTTGCTGCAGACACATTTCCTTCGTGCAATTTGTGTGTGAGATATGTAACCAGGTTAGTGGAAATCCCATAGAAGGCCAAACGTTCACAACATTCAGTTCCTGTAATGTTTATTATCAAAGGTATTAAAACTTAGTCCATAAGGCAATGCACAAGACAAGAGGTATGTAAAGAACAAAAGATCACCTAGAATGAAGGGGCACGCTCTCCAATTCCCAGTACTTTGCTTAAGAACAGGCTTCCCGGTAATGTCAACTGAACCGTCTCCAGTGTACAGTCCGTTGCTTTCATTCTGAAGATGCAATCATGTGAATAATGTTACATGTGTTGGAACCGTTAACATATAAATAAATGTGGAAGAAAATCCTTTAAAAGGAAAGAGAAGTACGTTGCAGTGTAAATGTCTTGCCAGCAGAAGTCATGAGACTCAAAACGTAAATAGAAAATATAGGGTACCCAGTTAAATTCAGATAATTAAACTTAAGCAGACACCTGATTCAATAATAACTTTCCCAAATACAAATTGACTCAAGGTCAAACCTTTCCCAGGTTCTCAATCTAAAAATTCACTCTAATGAACAAACTCAAACTAGACTAGAGGCATCTTTGTAATTGAATGTCAGTTAAAGAAAACTGGAATAGGTCATGAGCCAAACCATCCTCAAACTAAAAGGAGAAACATGTTTAACAAGAAACCCAATTCGTGCCCAAAATAATCCTCAATTAATTCACATCAAGGACCAAATTTTGAAGCCTAAAAATGGAAATCAATAAAACAGATTCAAAGGACAAAACTTTAATACGAAATAGAGACAGCAAAGAGAGATGAAGAGAGAGAGAGAGTAAGAACCTGAATAAGACCATCTTCCAAGAGCGATCTTTCCTCCTCAAGAGAACCCATCTCTCGTCTGTCTCTCTGAAAATGCAATTATGCAATAGAAATAGAAATGAAAAGAGTTTTCAACATCAAGTCACGAAAAAGAGAGCAGAGGATACTATTTTTCCACCTTGGAAGTCGGAATAGTATTAGATCAGATGACACGCGTATGGGCCAAGGGCAAGGTATCGTGTGAGGTGACGTAGAAGGAACAGGACCTTGGGACTTGGGATTAGGAAGGAGACGTAAATGTCCAGGTTTTTTGTTTGAATTTTGAGCAGCGAAGGAAGAAAGAAAGAAGGGTAGTTTTCAACAACTAACTCATCCTTCCTTGCGGCTTACGAGTCATTGTTTGCTGTTCACTACCAGACAAAAAAGAGTTAGGCCGTGAATTTTACGTTGATACCCTTTTGCTCTTTTTAAATATTAATAATAGGTTGCTTAACAGAGAAGAGTTTGGGTACCCAAGACTCCCTCGCTCGGCTCTTTCGTGAAGATTGGGCTGGGCATTTCCAGCCCAGATTAGTTTGTCATATTGGGCCCAGGGCCCATATAAAATTTATCGCAAAAAAGAGTGTTTAACACAGCATGAAACGTGGTAAATAGCTATTGGGGAATTAGCATGACCGGTTGCTCCTAGTTGTCGGTTTCTATCCACGCGAATTAGATTCGCCGCGTCCCCCTCTCTATCATCCAAGAAGAGAAATTGAAAAAGGTGGGTCCACCGGCTGGATGACCCAGTTGCCGGTTTCTGGTCTCCAGTCCATTTCCCTCTTCAAACCGTCGGCTTTCACTTCCTTCCTTGCATCTCATTCTCTTGCTTTCTGTGGGTTAATGCCTTACGTAGAATTTGGCGGTCTTTAATTTATTCCTTACCCCCGGTAAAGCACATTCTCATTATTGAAAAGTTTTCTAGAGATTTTAAGTTTTGTTTTGTTTTGAACAAGGCAAGAAAATCAAATATGACAATTAAAGGAAGTGACGATTATGCAATATTTTAGGAAATTATCCCAAATATATTATGTCGTACTTAATTTAGGGCATAATATTGTAACAGTCCAATTCCCTCCTCCCCAAGAAAAACAATCCAAGCAATTACCTTAGTGCTTGCTCTCTGTCTTATAATTAACCGGTTTCAATATATGTACGCATTTTCATCCTCTTGATTAATATTAATGGAATAATTCTATGTACTTATATCTCATTATCGTTTAAAGAGAATGACGTTCTCACAAACACACGAGTTTATGAATATCAGGATCTCTCCATTGAATTGGAAGTTCAATAACGCAAGTCTAAAAGTTAATTGATAACACAGGACATGAGGAATATATGCATTTGCATGATGCCAATGATACGCCTGATCGCGTTCATACATACCAACTAACTACTCTCTTACCGCAACATGCTTTTATCAATCTCTTCTCTTGGAGCCATTAAATAGTAATCAGAGCATAAAGCAAAATTAATTACAACGTTCCTAAGAATTCAAATATTCGATTTTATATAATAATAATAATAAAAGGTTCTTTTTTTCCCATGGTTTTCTCTATCTCCTCTCGGGGGATGTGTATGGTTACCTCTTGTTTCCCTTTTATCACATTTCGGTTGACCATTGAACATGTCTTTCGTTTCAAAATCACGTGGTCAATTTGAATTTCGTATTTTCAAAACAAATGAATAATTTCACGTAACGTTTCTGGAACAAACATATATTAATATTATACATTCTCTTCGTGTATTAACTATCATATTTACTTCTTCTTTTTTGTCTGTGGGATTAAATAATGTTAAATTGTTGACGAAGTTATAGTAAGTCATTTTTCTTATTTTTTGAATATTTTTTTCTTTTTACTTTCCTTTTTTTCAGTCAACGTTCCATTCAGCACTTTGAATAAAATTTAAAATAGCACAGAGAATAATAATATAAAAGCTCCAAAATGTCCTAGAATGGTGCTCATGAGAATCTGGTAAGATTTTCACACACAGGTCTAAAAACGACTAAGATAGCCTTATAATTACCATAAAGGTTGTTCAACCCTCCTCCCCAAGCAACCCCAAGCTCACGCTAGCTTTGTATATAAACCCTTGTCCTTCAATTACTTTTATCACCAATTCGTTTTTGCATCTCGATCTGCTAGCTCTTCTCTGCCCTAGGGCTGTCCTGACATTATCTCTCTCTCTCTCTGTTTTTGACGTTAACCACCATGGGCCTCTCAAAAACATTCTCAGCGTCCGATGTCTCTGTCCATTCAACCTATGCCTCTCGCTATATCCGAGACTCACCTGCCAAGTAAGTATATATATATATATGTACTGTGTTTATATATAGGCTCAGATGCATTTGGGATTTGATGGATGCATGCAATAAATAATGAAGAATAAATAAATTGCAGGTATAAGATGCCGGAGAATTCAACGCCAAAGGACGTGGCGTTCCAGATGATCAATGACGAGCTGATGCTTGATGGGAAGCCAAGGCTCAACTTGGCTTCGTTTGTGACAACATGGATGGAGCCAGAGTGCGAGAAGCTTATCATGGATTCGCTGAACAAGAACTATGTTGACATGGATGAGTACCCTGTTACCACTGAGCTTCAGGTACTGCAATTAATTTCCAGATTATACGTAAAACTCTGTACTAATGAAGCTTAGAACAGCACAGGAGTGTTAATTCGTTAAGTTGACGATTTCTTAAGTATTTTATTGGTTGATGTCTTAGTAGTACTAGTGTTTAGACAAAAAAAAAAAAAATTATTTGTATACCTTTCCCTTTTTTCTTTTCCTCAACTTTGTATTTTTTGTCTTCTTTTCTTTTTGGTGTATTTTTTGAAAAAAATCAAATCGAGCTAGTGATTCTGTGTGCGGATGGCAAGATGTCCTTTTCTTTTTCTTTACACAAAATAAAATAAAATCTGAGTATGGCACGTGTGGTGGGCCTTACTTACTTGTAGAAAAACTGAAACGACCGAAGACTGAATGTCGTTGAGTCAACGAGTCAATGGGGAATTGATGCTAATAAATTTCTCTGTCTCTGTCGTGTGTTTGATTACACAGAATCGGTGCGTGAACATGATAGCAGATCTATTCCATGCACCGCATGAAGACGGTGAGGCTGCGACTGGAACAGGAACAGTAGGATCATCGGAGGCCATAATGCTGGCAGGCCTTGCATTCAAGAGAAAGTGGCAAAACAAGATGAAGGCTCAAGGCAAGCCTTACGATAAGCCTAACATTGTCACTGGTGCCAATGTCCAGGTAAATTTCGTCTCATCTTTTATTCTTCTTTTAATATTTTCTCGCTAATTAATCTTTGTAATTTTATACATGTAGGTATGCTGGGAGAAGTTTGCAAGGTATTTTGAAGTAGAACTGAAGGAAGTGAAAGTGAGGGAAGACTATTATGTAATGGACCCTGTCAAGGCTGTGGAGATGGTGGATGAAAACACCATCTGCGTTGCTGCTATTTTGGGATCAACTTACAATGGAGAATTCGAAGATGTGAAGCTCTTGAATGATCTCTTGCTGGAAAAGAACAAGCAAACTGGGTACGTACATATTTGCTTCACATACACTAATTTAATGATTAGTTAATTGCAATTATATAGTTGGATTAACATTTAATTTGGAAGTAATATTGATTTGGCAATGGATGTATGCACAGATGGGATACCCCTATTCATGTCGACGCTGCCAGTGGTGGGTTCATTGCACCATTCTTGTATCCTGATCTTGAATGGGATTTCCGTCTTCCACTGGTGAAGAGCATCAATGTCAGCGGCCACAAGTATGGCCTTGTTTATGCTGGAATTGGGTGGATTGTTTGGAGGGCCAAAGAGGACTTGCCTGAAGACCTTATCTTCCACATCAATTACCTTGGAGCTGACCAGCCCACCTTCACCCTCAATTTCTCTAAAAGTGAGACAATAAACATATAGCAACTTCCTCTGCTCTAAACCTCTAATTCATCATGCCAATGATTACTAGTGCCCTAAACTAGTTTATTATAATTTAATTTGCAGGTTCTAGCCAGATTATTGCTCAATATTATCAGCTTATCCGATTGGGTTTTGAGGTGAGAGACCTTCTAAAAGAACGAAATTCATAAACACTAATTTTACAATATCCTGAAAATTATTGAAATATAAGCGATCTAATTTTTGCTTTTTTTATATAATACAGGGATACCGTAATATCATGGAGAATTGTCAAAACAATGCAATGGTGCTAAAAGCAGGGCTGATAAAAACAGAACGCTTTAAGATTTTGTCAAAGGACATTGGGGTTCCAGTGGTGGCGTTTTCTCTCAAGAATAGAAGCCGTTACAATGAGTTTAAGGTGTCTGAAAATTTGCGTCGGTCCGGGTGGATTGTGCCTGCATATTCCATGCCGGCGGACGCTAAGCATGTGGCCTTGCTCCGTGTTGTCATAAGGGAAGACTTCTCTTGCACTCTTGCTGAACGCCTTGTCTCTGACATTACTCACGTCCTGCAAGAGTTGGATATGCTGCATCCAGCTGCTCCTCCTGCCATTGAAAATGGTCATCTCAAAGTGGCTGCAAATGGCCTCCTCAAAGTGCCTGCAAATGGTGTTGCAAACGGTGATCACAAAGTGGCTGCAAATGGTGTTGCAAATGGGAAGGCATAGGAATTTACTAGCAACTTCTTTTTGTTGTCGGAGATCGAGTTTATTTGAACTTTATAACGTCGATCATAGGAGTTTTTTTTGTTCTCCTTTTGTTTGAGGTGTTTTTCTCTTTTTAGGCGTTTGATTATTATACTTTGAGGAGTCCTAATTATGAGTCGTGTTAATTTCTCGGGTTAATATACTAATTGTATTGCCCCCTATACATTGACAGAATTTTTGAGATTGACATATATACTAGCAATTTTTCAGGTTTAATTAATTTTATTCTTCTCTGCATCCGTCACCATCACCGTCATCGTCAACATAACATGATCCTACTATTTCACATCCCTCGAGCGAGAAATGTATTTTGTTGAAGAGTAAAGGAAGCTATAAGTATTAATCAACCAAGTGTATGCCATACAAAGTAATTCTGACTTCGGCACAGGAGCAATGCAATGAAATCAAGTAGCAAAAAATGCATATATGTATATTTGATCTTGCAATTGATGCAATTGCTGTTGCTGTTATTGAGAGACAAAATGAAATGAAATTTTTTATTTTTGAAAACCCAAAAGGAAAAAGATCACCATCAATTCAAATGAATTGTCACAGTTTTTTCATGTATTTGATTCTACATGTTGTAGTGGAGGCGTCTTTTGCTCATCATGCATGCTGGTTAACATATGCTGTATGAGAGCTCTTCTTAAATCCCAATGAAGTAATGATTTTTGTAAAATGGTCTCCGTTTGCGTTATGAATTTTGTTGAATAAGAAGTTAGCAAGTATTTCTCTAGAAAGCATTTGCTTTTAACCTTTACATATTAAGCAATCTCAAACAATCGTTCATATAAATTGTTACAGAGCTGTTTATGTAATGTTCAATCAAGGTCATAATACTCTTCTTTGAAAACCTCTTATGTGATTGTGAGGGTTGAAAATTGAAGAGTGTTACATGATGTTTTATTTTATTTTATTATGATTCAAACTTGGCACTATAGTTTTTTCTTAAAATATTTTCGGGACTTTTAGACTATGACCTCATGAGTAAGGATGTGGATGCGCCGCTACTCTCATTCACATTATTTTGCAGGAAGAGAAGAGAGAATCCATCCATCAATGCAAGGCTGCGTTTGAATAACGCATTGAGATATGCCTTTGAACCTTTGATGTTCGAATACAGAAACCATTGTCTTACCCCAATAGCAAAGCATATATAGTATAAAATCCTTTATAGTTCAAACAAGCTATTGAATATTTACAGAATACTTACCGCTTTAGTTTGTCAAAAGCAATCAAAGATAATTTTCCAAAAAAAGAAAAGGAGGAAACTTCGTGTACGTTCAAATTATCCCTTGCTTTCATTTGAAGCGAGAGCTTGGAAATTTGAGGCATAAAAGATGCTTTTGTAGGGATTATTTACGAGGACTTTGTGAACCCACCATCTAGTGTTATATATATGGTTGCAGGAAGAGAAGAGGGCATCCATCCATCAATGCAAGGCTGATATGCTGTTCAACTTTGATGTTCGAATCAATACAGAAACCATTCTTATAATAAAGTCTTATCCCGAGCCAAAAATATAATTAAAATCCTTGATATTATTATATATAGTTCAAAAATAGTTTCCAATGATCTTGTTTGCAAATCACTCAAATACCACCAAACTAAGCAACTAAACAGAAAATAATAATACAAGAGTATACCGAATGGATCCAGATCCTCTGCTTAGATTTTCTCTGCCATGATCTGCTTTATTTTCACTGTAATGCTGTCACATCATTAAAATTTAATCTAAGGGATTTAAAAGTTGACACATCATCCTAAAACAAAAACCCAATTTACTCCTAATTATAGTAATAATAATGTTTGGATTATCATATCCCCAAGTTCAACTGAGATTGAACATCCAAAATGGTGCGAGCAGAGTCCCTGAGCCTCTGTTCCTCCTCATCAGTGAGATGTATATTGGTGACCCCCAACACCCCACCTCTCCCCAGCTGCGCAGGCAAGCTCAAGAACACTTCCCCGCCTTCCACTCCATAGAAGCCCTTCGCCAGCACCGAAACTGGGTGGATCTTCCTCTGGTCCCTCAGTATGCTCCGAGCTAGGTTAGCCACCGAGTACCCTATTGCCCACGAAGTATACCCTTTCAGGCTTATCACTTCATACGCGCTGTCCACCACTGCCTTGTGGATCTCCTCCAGTGTCTCTTTCTCGTACGCTATTTCCTGCTTCTCTAGGAAGCTCAGCACCGGCACTCCCCCTACGCTGATGCTCGACCACAGAGCCACTGAGCTGTCTCCATGCTCCCCAACGATGTAAGCCTAAAGTAAACACACGCACACTCTTACTATATTATTACCACACGGTGCTAATTAATTACTACAAAACAAATCAAATATAACTCATAAACTCACCTGCACATCTTGGGCGTTCACGTCAAGATGATCAGCGATGAGGAAGCGGAACCTGGAAGAGTCCAGATTGGTCCCCGACCCCAGGACCCGGTTGCTGGGAAACCCGGATAGCTTCCACGCCACGTGAGTCAAGACGTCCACCGGGTTGGATACGATGAGTAAGATGGTGTCCGGCGAGAACTTGACGAGTGGGGGGATGATTTTCCGGAAGAGAGCGACGTTCCTCTGGAGCAGGTTGAGCCTGGACTCCCCCAGATTCTGGCGGGCACCGGCGGTGACTATGCAGAGGTCGGAGCCAACGGTGACTGCGTAGTCGACGGAGGCCAGGATTTTGGTGCGGGGGAGGAAAGCGGCGGCGTGCTGGAGGTCGAGCATCTCGCCGCGTAGCTTGTCGGGATTGACGTCGATGAGGACGAGCTCGTCGGCGAGGTCTTGGGTTAAGATGGTTTGGGCAATGGCCATGCCGACGTTACCAGCGCCGACGACGGAGATCTTGGTGTGGCGCTTGGTGGGGGAAGGAGGAGCTGCACTGGATATGGGTTTGAAGAAGGACTGGGTTAAGTCCAGCCCTCCTGGTCCCAGTGATGACCCTGAACTACTCTTATGCATGGTAACGGAAATGGCTGTCTTACTCTTACGATGTATGTTTGAGATTGAGATGTGTTTGTGTGTTGCTGTTGATGTTCTTGAGAGAGACAAAGTGAGAGGTTTTATAATGTCGGATGAGAGAGCGACGGAAAGTCGGCGGAGGAGGGCAGTTGAATGCAGTGGGGAACAAGATGTTTGATTTGGGAGATTTCCTTCCATTTCAACAGTCAACAACATTCTGCGACTTCAGAAGATTGACCATTAATGAAGGAAGTTTCCTTTCTTTCTAAAACTAAGACTTTCCTTTCTTCTTTTAAGAACGGGAGATAAATGAAGCAAGTTTTTCTCTTGGCTTGTCTTGGACAATACTTCAGAAGATTCACCATTATTAATGATATGAACCCTCCGATTCCACACAGGCAGACCTTCTTCAATAAAAAGAAGCCCAGTTGGAATTTACAGCCCATATCTTGTGTCTGTCAGCTGAAACCATTGGGCCTTCTTCAATAAAGAAGGCCATGTTTTCTTTTTTCAATAAAGAAGCCCATGTTGTCTTCCTTCTTCAATGAAAAAAGCCCATTTGGACTTGTTGAAATATGATGTCGGCATGAGTTGGGGGTGTTTACAGATTTTGCTGGGATAGATAGATGTACTCAGACTCCACTAACACCTACTCAAAAGCATACCTCAAATTCACGCGGACAAAAGAACATCCTGGAAATAAAAAAACGAGGGAGAAGCACTCAACTCAACATACAAAGTAAACCAAAATCTAATGTTGTGTCACCTTATGAAAAGTAGTATCACTAACTTAATGCTCAGTGTGAACAACCCATGCAATTCAATCAAAATGATTACATGTTGAATAAACTAGGGCACAAACCATAGTCATCCTTCCACGTCTCCACAACCACCGCACTAGTGCAAAAGCACTATTTCCCCGTCAAGCTATATATATATATGTATGTGGATGGATCAGTGTACAAGACAGAAGAACCAAAGCGCCTAAGTCTAGCAATTAATACATTACATAAGAGGCTGAACAAGATGAAAGGCTGCCTTGTTTGTGTGTTTGTATTTCTGGTAGCTTCAAGAGCATTTTTTGAGGAAGTTGGTGCAGCTGGGGAATGTGGAAAGACCCCAATTAGGTCAGCAGCAACTAGCTTGAGCCCGTGCTTGAGCTCAGCTAGAAATGTGAGGGCCAAGGTTCCTCCAACTTGTTGCACCAAAGTTGGGGCCTTGATAAGTACTGCCCCAAAATGCCTGTGTGCTGTTTTGTTGTCCCCTTTGGCAAAGCAGGCTGGTATCAATCCCGCCATTGCTATTACTATTCCAAAGAGATGCAAAATCAGGAACCGACCTGCTGGAAAGAAGTGCGGAAGTAAGTATCTATATGTATATATATGTCACCCTTTGGGCTTTTACAAACATTGATAATGCCTTGAATTGATTGTCAAGATTGCTTTTCCATTTTTGTTACCCTTTGGTTGGGCTTTTGTTATTGTTCTTCTCTTCTGTGGGTAAATCCATATACATATATAACATGGTTATTCATCTGTTCGAGTTTGACTGACTTTGTACTTGTCTGTGTTGCACTTGCAGGGTATGTCGTCCCATAAGCCATTGGCTGGGCAAATACATAAAAGGGGGACCGGCAAATCCAATGTTAAATGAGATTAGAGTGTTAAGTTTGAATAATAAACATGTAACCTACCAAGGGTTATTTGCTGAGATATCGTCGACTCTTTCAGGCACTAATAGTAATATGTCATATTCTTGTCCTAATTACGCTTATGTAATGGATTATGGTCCCTGTCTTATCCTTAAGTTACAACAATCTTTCTCTCTTTCCTATTTCCTATTAATTTACATAAAGATGGAAAATTACCCGAAAATAAAAAGATGGATCCAAAACAAAACTATTCAGTCATGCTCACGCATGAATTTAATAATTCTAAATCCAATTCAAATGAATCAAAAGAGACCCTAATGATGATTTCTTAACCAGAAACTTTGAAAGATTGGGCAATTTGATCAACCTGTGTATGCATGTGCAGAAAAGCACCCCGAAAGCTTTACATTATTACTTAAACACAGTGAAAATTTGGGGTCCCATTTTGTCGAATTCAAATTCTCAGTCACACAGAGAACAGGGATTAGTGGTAAATTGTGATATTATTAGCGGTAAATGGGATCGAATCCAGCTGTCCATGGGCCTAATAATTCTCAATGAGTACGTCTGATTGGACTTCAGTACAAGTCCAATACAGCATTTAAGTTCAGCTCGGCCCATTCTCTTTGTCACCGTCTGATTAAAGATGAGTGAGTTTTTGGCACAAACCACCACACAATATGAGTCTGTACGGCACATGAAACAAACATGCTCTGCCGTCGGATTGTGCATCAATCAACATCCCCACAAAATACAATGTGAGTGACTCACATCAGCTAAACTTTGGCCGCTCAAACTCCATGATCAAAGGGTACTGGTCCCACACTCACCCACCCCACCCATCATATTAAATATGAATTCTTCTTCTTCTTCTTCTTCTTCTTCTTCCATCCATTTCAGTGAACCCCACAAACATGCATGCCAAGAAGTGGGCCCAACCCAAACTCAATTTAAACCAGCCAAAGAGAATTCAGATTTGAAACGACCCCACGATGGTGAGAGAAGGTGTAGAAAAAAAGTGCCGAAAGGAGAACGGTTGGGAAGCAATAATACGTAAGACTGTGTTCGGTAGACTGTAAGGAAACAAAAAAGAAAAAGCCGAAATTTGAATTTGTGTCAAACAGGCATGGGAATATCTTTTCTTTGCCTTACAAAATCTTACAAATACAATATTTGCTTTTTTACAATGCAACGCAGACATCATCATATGAGTACCTTATTTAGTCCCCCACACACATTATATCTTAACCACACAAAATTAATAAAAGTGAGACTACATTTTCCGAATCCCAAGAGACACCCTACTTTTTCTCCTCTTTTTTTTCCTTCTTTGTAATTAAAATTAAATATAAAAAAAAGCATTGCCGTTGACTGCCCGCTTCTTCTGAAATCATATGATTCTTTTTAACTTTTTCCACACACACACACACTCTCTCTCTCTCTCTCTCTCTCTCTCTCTCTCCATGGCTGGGCTCTAAGCTAAGGCTTGCACATAAATATAAATAGAAGCATTTTCAGCATCAATTAATGTATGGGCCTCATTCGTAGTAGATCATTCATTTCATTTATATCAGATCAAATCAGACTAAGCTTGTCCATGGCTTACACAAGCAGTAGCCTCCACAGTTCTTCCCTAGCTTGGGATTCTCATAACAACCACCTTGGACTTGTCAACAACACAGACAGAATGTCTTTAGGTACCACCACCACCACTTCCACTTCTGCTTTTGTTCTCTCTCTCTCTCTCTCTCTCTCTCTCTCACTGTTTTTGTTTTCTGTCTACATTCCTTCCTTATATAAACTTCTTGTCTTTATATTGTTGCAGCTATGGATGAGTACATGATGATGACGATGATGATGAAGGCACCGTTTTGCTCACCTCCACTGGTAGATCAGTCAGATTTCTCGACGGGGTACTTGGAAGATGCTTTGCTTGAATTTAGCGAGCCTTCCAAAAGAAGACGGGTGCTCTTATATACCGATAACGAGATCAACCACTCCGCTACTACGACTAGTGTTCTTGAAAAGGTACCTACTTCTCTATCTCTACTGCATGGCATGCTCTGTTTTTGAAATTAATTTCACACTGACATATTTACATATTCTACTTGGAATTAACAGAGCCACTGGAATTCACACTGGGAACTCTCTGAGAATTTTGACTGCATGACCCAGCTAGCCAGTTCCAGTGCGCTATCAGGTAATTATTTTAACTTTCTGGTTTGTTTGTTTCTTATTAATTATGGAATTTAGTGACTAATTAAAGTTGAATTTAATTTCAGTTCTACGGGGTGATCCTGTAAGTATAACAACACCAATCAGCAGAATCTGTGAGGAGACAAACAGAGTCACGAAGATAAACACAGCAGAAGAGGCAACAATGACAGCTCCTGAAGCTATTGATTCCTCCTCTTCTTCTTCTTACAAAGAGGACTCAGCCAATACCAACTCTGACTATTTACCTGCTCCTCCAGCTGCAGGTACATATATTTTTCTTTCTTTCGCTCACTCAATCAAAAGTAGTGCCTATTTATAATATAAATAGGGTACGAACGTAAAAACAAATATGTATAATTAATAGATAATTAAAATTGGATGAGCAGTAGCAGGTGGTAGCAGCAGTGATGAAAAGAGGAGAAAGAAGAAGAGGGTGATAAGAAAGGTGGTTTATCCATTTGCATTGGTGAAGCCGGGCGGAGTAGAAGGGGACATGACCTTAAACGACATCAACGAGAGGATCCTAATGCCGCCAACAAGGCCAGTACGACATCCAGTCGGGGACTTTGCGTGTCGGCCATGCGTGTCTGCTGATGGCCCTGGCCTTTCTGGGAAAGCTGTGGTGGCCCTTACCAGAATTCACACTCAGGGCAGAGGCACCATCACTATTATCAGAACCAAAGGTTAAAAATGAACCTCATCAGCCAGCTAGCTAGCTACGCATGCACCGCGCTATAACATATATGCTTCAGTGTTCGATGATCCATCTCTCATCTTTAATTCTTCATTAGCTAGTTAATTAAATCTGCTCTCTCTTGAATTGTATAGAACAGAAACCTAAGTGAATGTGTAACATGTGTTATGGGTTGTTACTTTTACACATAGTGAATTGATTAAGAACTATTATTATTATTATTCAGCTCTGTCACGTCTTTGTTTGTTGTACTGACTACTTTGACAATAAATGAGTGCAATAAACAACACAGAAGATTTCTCAAGTCAAAATAATGGAAAAAGAAGAAAGTATAAAAGAAAAAGAAGCGAATAGAAACGAAAATGCATGCCTCTCTTCAAAGGTTAAAGCTTGCCTGACACAGGGACCTGCCTATAATTAATGCCGTTGTTCTCGATCGCAAGGTGTAAAGTAATGTAGGGTTGGTCATTTGTCTCGTTCAAGTGGGGACAGACAAACTATCCAAAACAACAACGAAAATCAGACTCAAATAATCCAAAAGTGGAAATTCAGATCACTGCATAATATAAGATGGGTGGATCTACCACCATAGACATAGTCGCCCACTGCATAATCTTTTAACCGTATGGTGTTGGATTGGTGATGAATGAAAGCTTTATCATCTCCCATTAATTCATTCCCATCTCCTTTACTTTACCTTTTCTTTTTCTGCTGCAGATACCTCCTTCTGCAAGACTCCAACTACTACCACTACAAGTAGTACAATTCATATATATATATATATAAGACCAAGACTTTAAGCTAGCCAGTAAGCTAGGTTCCTATAAATTTATAAAATTTTAAAGGGTGCACCAATCATTAGACTAATACTGTTCTGATCGTTAACTAATGCCTGCCTTACCAATGCATAGAATAATATTCTTCTCCTCTTCTCTTCTCTTCATGTGATGTGGCCTGTGGCTGTGGTGCATGTCTTCTTCTTCGTCTGCATCGCATTCGCATATATTTATATATATATATATATAGGTCTCCGGTCAATACCCAAATTTCAAACTTGGCCCAGGATTCAAGACAATATCTAACATGTGGGGCCATATAAAACATGCACCCAGTTATATGCGCCTGCATCACAACCGTCTAATGGTAATACCCTTTGACTTTTCCTGTGCAAATCTTTAATATATATGTATATATATATCATGCGGCTGCGGCCTCAACTTGAGGAGGAGGCACGAAAAAGCGAGCAGCACATCACATCATATCCTAGCTAGCAAGCAGCATGCCTACGTGGCTGATCTTGGTGCGAGAGTGGCAAAGTAGTGACGACAGGGATTGGATGTTTTGTCTCATTACAACGAGAAATCATTTTTCTTGTTTAGGTGAAGAAAAGAAAGAAGAAGCAGCTTTTCATCTTTTTCTACTCAAATTTCTTTGGATATTGCAGAATCGATAGATATATATATATATATATATATATATATATATATATATATATTATATATAGGTCAGGTGGTGGTAGAGAAGCCACACAACACTTAAAACTACTAGTGGGACGGACGGACTTGAAACAGAAATATTATTAATTTTCTACCAATTATATAGAGTTATTACGTGAATGGCAGAGAATAGGAGAATAATATTTTTCTCGTTGCACACAAATGTTTCTCACATAGAATGAGATTCTATTTATTTGAAAATAAAGACTACACTTACACATTACACTAGCTAGTACTACCCATTCAATTATATTTAAAGAAAATAAAATGTCAAGTATATATTCCAAAAGAAAAGTAAATAAAGAAAAAAGAGAGAAATCAAACAAGCATAGTAAACTAAAGGGGAGAGAGAGAGAGAGAGAGATGACCTAAAAGGATGAGTAGGAGGTTCGAATGAAATATGGAAGCAAGGAATCAATGTGTTTTTTTAATTCTACCTTTTGAAATGCAAAATGAAGTGTTGTGTAAATGTATGATGAAAATGGAAAATTGAAGTTAATGTAAGTCTTAATCTCCCTGAGATTTAATCATAACTCTCCAAATCCAATCCAATCCAACACTAGTTTCACATGGCAGTCAATTAAATGATTTCCCCTTTTCTCTGTATCTTCAAAAAAGAAGAAAAACAATGGAAAAAGAAAATCCTTGGTATACGTGAGAATGCCATCCACTTTTGCTTTTCCAAATCCCCAATATTCTCTTTTTTATTTAAACATTATAACATACACCTATATATATATATATAAATAAATATCCACTTGGGATTTCACTCTTTGAATTCTTTTTAAATAAAATACTCACGAAGCTTTCTACTGGCTTTTATTTTCTGTGGATTTGTTCACAACGACCTGAGTCCAAGAATTTGACTTAAACTTTTATAACAAGGGTATTAGCAAGTCCAGATAAACAAAGTTATGTAGGCCCGCTTAAAGCCCATGTAGGCCCTCATTACATAATTCCTTTTGAATTAATATTGGCCCAATATTAATGCCTGCTGGGTTGTCCTTATTACATCATTGCGTCTGCTTCAGAATCAATATTGGGCCAATAATTTTATTTTATTTTATTTTATTTTTTGTGGAAAAGATGGTTTATTATAACACCATAAGAGCAAGTCCAGCGAGGGGCTGAGCCCAAGGCTGGGGGGAAGGCAAAAAAACGAAGCTCCAGCGGTTAGCCCAAGCCCGGTCAACCTGGGGGTACCAACAACTCGGGCTAGTCCGAAGGCTAATTCAGCCTGAGGTCCAACTCGCGGGTTGGGTGACATCAGCGCTACAGTGATTGTGCTACAGTACTCGCGCTACAGTGCCGCTAAAGTCCACGTGTCGCGCTCTGGGCTCTCCGATCAGATTTTTTACACCAATCAAACGGCAGCCAATTTTTGTGCAATAAAAAAATGAAAAAAAATCAAATTTTTTTATAAAAAATTACTGATTTTTTTTTTCTTCTATAAATGCCAAAATTTTATCCGATTTAGATATGAAATTTATAATAAATATTGACACATACGAACCCGGAAATCTTATCCGAAAATATTATCCAAATTAATTATTGAGGTAAAAAGATTTGTGAAAAAAACAAAAAAATGAATAGTAATTGCCCTTAGCCATGGCAACGGGTGGAAACACAAAATATACTATTTGCAAGGGCAACCACTATTCATGTGAATAGTGGCTGCCCCATGGCAAGGGGCAAATGGGTGGAGTTGCTCTAATTAATTAGCCACCAAGATTGAAACAATAATTGCTTTACACCAAAAAACAAAAACAAAAAAAAAACTGCTAATGCTTATTGATTTTTTTGGGGGCATCATTTGCATTAGCTCATGCTGTCGTCATAGTTAACGGGTCAAAGCAAAAGTCTAAAGTCTTCAGTCCAAGCATTGCCCGTATCAACCGCAACGGGAAGTGGTCAATAATGTTACAGTAATAGGTCAAAGATTCTTTCTAGTTATATAAGTAAATTTATATTTTACGAAACTGTTATTTCGCGCGCCCGTAAAATAAAATAAAATAACGAGTGCATGATGTAATGTTGAAATCATTAACGAATCGAAGAGTTTTGTGACGGAAGGATGATAATATATATATATATGCCGTACACACTCTGTTGACTTTAGGGATGATATGCAAAATTGGTATTGGACCATGTCAATCTGGAGTCTGGAAATGCAAAATTTGCCAACGTGGCATGGAATAGGAATAGACCCATAAACATAGTTTTGTTTTTAAGCTTCGGCTCCCTTAGAATTAGAAAAAATAACTTGCCCTGTTCTTGCCATCTTTGGATCAAGAGGGGAGAGAGAGAGAGAGAGTCACATAACATTGCAAATATTATTATTTAGGATCGTAATTAAGAAAATGATTGATTGAATGAACATACATTACAATTCATTTGCAATTACATAAGGCGGGAGTAGGACTACATTCTCGAGAGAATGACTGAAGAAGTTAGTTACTCTCGATTAAAAAAAGTCACTATATCAAATCTCAAGAACATCCCGCGAACAAACAAAGAATCTAAACAAAACGAAGGAAGGTACGTACGTGTGATGGGGTCCAGAACCAGAATAATGCAACAATCAAAAGGACACAAAATCTAACAGACCTGGCTAACTGATTCTGACACGGAAATGGAAAACAGCCAAAAATGAGTCACCCCGGCATTCATCATTCAGCCTTCTTCTTAATTAGCTTATTATTAAGTTGGAGAACGTGAGTGATGAAGAAGAAGCGTTAATTTGTGGATTAATATTTGGCGGGGTTTGATGATGATGTGTGTTTGAGCTGATGATGATCAAAACAGACACAAGAAAAGACGGTCTTGAGAACCTTCTTGAGAACTTGGCCCCGTTTTGGGATCCAGCGAGGGGCCATGAAAGCAGAAGCACCACCATGATATCGATGATGAGCACTAGTAGCAGTGGAGGTTGCTTCTTCGCAGCTGTGGATGAGAGCAGCCATATGAATATATGAATATATTGGCTGCGCTGGCTCTTAGTGTTCGTTTTCAATGGAAGGGAGACAGACAGCTTAGGCCAGATAGGTTGTTTTTGGAAATGAAGTTAAGTTGGTGCGTCGAAAGAGGCAGTGAGAAGTGGTGCCGACAACAAGGTGTTGGAGTTACTAATATGAGGGGCGTGGAAGCCGCGTAGACTCACTCGTTTAACTTAACCGAGTGAGTAACGCGTGAGGGCTCTTTTCTCTCTCTCTCTCTCTCTCTCTCTTTTTAAGACTCGTTCTTTACTCGTTGTTTATATAAATAAAACCCAAGTAATACTATCAAATTCTAATTTGTGTTGTACCCAACCAACCACCTCAATCACCCACCACGCCACACCACATCCACAACAACCCAACATACATTATCAGAGGGAGAGGGAGCCCAATTCCCTTACACGCCTATCATATATTCTCTCTCTCTCTCTCTCTCGGGAGAGGGAGTCCAATTCCCTCACACGCCTATCATATATTCTCTCTCTCTCTCTCTGCTTTGAATAAGTCATTTCATATACTTCTCCTTGTGGCCCCTTACTTTATTCTGCACATAGAGAGTTTGAAGTCCCCTACTTTAATTAATATAGTGCATATGTGGTCCTAATTTATCTGTTTCTATTTACTCATGTTACACAAAACACTTTTTTTTATATTTCTTACTGTTTCACATACACATACATCACATTTCCTGTGGAAGTTTTCCAGAACAGTATCCAGTTTATGTGTGTATATATATATGTTCCTTGTTGCATTGTGATTGCAGCAGCTGTTGAACTTGACCACAAGTCTATAACTAAGATCACCCTCGGAGGGGGCATTCCCAAACATCACATTCGCAACTTTTTCGTTTACTTGTACTAGAATATATTTTTTCCCTTCAAATACTAATACTATTGCTTGTAGATATTTGATCCTCTAGTTTGTTTTTTGTTTCAAGTTTTGGCAGCCATTAAAACTTTATCAAAGGCGTAGAGGGGTTGCTGTTAAGACTCTTTGGCCCAATTTGTATGTGTTTTGTGGGCTTTAAATTAGTGGCTTATTGAAATTGGCTGGGCTCTAACGAGGACTCCTAAATGAGGACACTATGTGAGGATCAATTTCAGCCATCCAATCTAATCTCAACGGCTGTAGAGAAAAAACAAGCTTACTATGTAAGTGTGTACGCTACAATTTCCCTCCTTTGGCATTCGCGCCTTTTCTTCTTCCTTCATTTCTGCATTTAATTGTTTTGTGAATTATGACTACAAACCCCAAAATCTGAAAACCCAAATACCCAGAAGCTCATAACGCCACCCAAAATCTAGATTAAAGAAAAAATTGTTTTCATTTGTGCAAAATCTTACAACCCAAAATCTCATTCCGTTTTCCATCTGGATTTTGAGGCAAGGGTAGTAGAATAGAAAGCAAAAACAGCACGTTGGTCATCCACATCACGCGTTTTAGATACACCAAAACACACACACTCTCTCTCTCTCTCTCTCAGACAGAAACCAGAAAGACGCTTTTTTATTTGGGTGAAAACCCTAACTGGAAAGTCCATCACTCTTGAGGTTGAGACCATCGACAACGTGAAAGGCAAGATCCAGAGGTACTGTTTCTCTCTCTTCCTCTTTGTCTTCCTCACTCTTTGCTGTAGAAGATACTTTGTATCGAGAAACTTGAAAGATAGCCATTCACGTTGCTGCCCCAATTTGATTAGGATGAAAGTAAGGATGATTCTGATGTTGCTGATGATGATATCTTTAGTATTTAATTGTTTTTGGTTGTATAGAAAACAAAGACGAAAAATTTGATTTTGAATGATTTAGGTGATTATTTCATAGGGGTCAATGCTAAGTGATTATCTTTTAGTCTTGAATATGGGTGATCTGACAAGACATATTGAATTTCTATCGGAGTTAGATTCTGTATCTGAATATGTTAATAATAACGTGTGTAGTATGGGTATGGGTGTCTGTTTTGTATCTTGCAAATAAGTGGGTAATATGGATTTGGGTATCTTATTATGTATCTTTTTTTTAAGAAAGAGGTATTCGATTGTGTATCTGAATGTCTTGATAACAGTGTGAATAATATGGATTTGGGTATCATATGAGTATATTTTTTAGAAAGATGCAGTAGGAAACTATTACAATGGCTAGGATAATGTCATTTATGTTTAATGGAAAGAATACTCTTAAGTCTGAACTGGCCACATAAACAATCCAGTCTTCCTTTATCACCGATAATAGTGTGGATGTGTATCAGAACCAACACGATAATACTGTGAGTAGTTTGGATATCAGTATCATATGAGTTTCTTAATGTGTTCATTATAGTGTATGGATACTGGTATCATAGTCTGTATCTGAATGTGTTGATTATATGTCATTTGTATGGATTTAGGTATCCTTTTTGTATTATAATGTGTTTATTGTAATGTGAGTAGTATAAATATGAGTATATATTAAGTTGGGTAAATGATGTATGTTGCAGGTCAAAAATGGAATCTGGGTTTGAGCTTTGTTTTCCTGAATCAGAGGTGTATTCGGCGAGGGTGAATAATCTATGTGTGCCGAGTACAGTACTCAGTAATTTTGTGTTGAAGTTTAGTAATGAACAAATGAGAAGATTTAGAGAGACCTGCTTTGGGCACTTGATGGAGCTGGATAAAATTTCATTTAGTGGTCAAATGGTGCATGGTCTGGCCCTTCGGCGCGTGGCTGGACTTGGTGTGAAGGACATACACGGGCTTAGTTATGCAATAGGGTCCAATGTGGTGCAGTTCAGTGCAAAAGTATTTTGTCTAGTTAGTGGTCTGAAATTTGGAGTAGAGCCTCACATAACGGCTGAGGATGAAGGTGTAAATCGGCTACTTGATGCTCATATTAGCAATAAGAATCACATTACATTACAAGACATAGAAAAAGCATTCTTAAGCGCCAAATTTGGAAGTGAGGACGTGTTCAAATTGGGAATGCTATGCTTTATAGAGTTTGTGATATTGGGGAAAGCCCCCAATGTTAGGATAAACGAGGAGTATTTACACTTGGTACATAATATGGAGGAATTAAACAACTTTCCGTGGGGTTCGATATCATTTGAGCAGCTCCAGGATTCTTTGTTGTTTAGTCCTGGAAAAAGAGAGAGTGATGAGAATGATGATGAGAAAGAGAAACGACAGAGAAAAGGAAAAGAAGAGGTGAAAAGGAAGAAGAAGTTGGAGGATAAAAAGCGTAAAAGAATTAACAGACCGGCGTGGACTATAAAGGGATTGAGCTTTGCTTTCCAGGTAATGTTTAATTCATAATTTCTGCTTTGTAAAGTTGAGTTCATAATTTCTGTTTTGTAAAGTCATGTTCATAAATAATTATTGACTTTGAAATTAACTTGGAGCAGGTTTGGGCGTATGAATTGATTCCTGAATTGGAAATGGCGCCTCTGAGATATTGTAAGAAGAAGGACAAAACTGAATTAGTTCCTCGTATTTGCCGGTGGGAATCTACTGATAAAACCCCTGAGTTTAGAAAGTTGAATGCGTATATTTTTCAAAGCAAACAGGTATTCAGTAAATAATATGTTTATTTCATGACTCAAGTTGTTAAGTGTATTGTATATGACATGTGAACTGTGTTTTTGTGACAGCATGCTTCGTTACGCCTCCTACGACCAAGTGCACTCGAGCTGAGGCAAAAGTACTGGACTTGGGGAACTAATTTTCATGAAGAGGATGCACCTAGTATGGGTCCTGGAGTATGTACGGACCTTGCTGAAGTAAGCTCTCTTGTGCAGCGATTGGGGGATGAGATTGAAATTTTGCATTGTGAAAAGAGTGAGCAATGGGCAAATTTTGTAGATTTCAAGAACGCAACCAATCATGGGATGGAAGTTATGAGGTTAGAATTGACTGCATTGAGAAAAATGATAGGTCATGGAGGTGGAACTGTGGTTGTGCCATCTGTTGTAAAGGTGAAACGAGTACAAAGGGAAGAGAGTGTATGTGAGGCACAGGTTGAAGACAGTGAAATGAAAGATGAAAAGCTGGATGACGAAGAGGAGAGAGAGGATGAAGATGAGAAGGGTGGAGAGAAGGTACATGACGTAGACTTGTTGCAGGGATGCTACAATATATAGCTGTATGATTATGGCTGAATGTTTAACTGCCTTAGTTTTGAACTTGAGAGGTATTACCAACCGTGTGAACACACATGCAACACTATTTTGTTTTGATTACGGTGATGTGAATATATTAGCAATTCACTCTGAACACAGAGGTGCATGTTGTTTAATTAGAAAGGTTTTTTTTT